TATGATGACTTAGAAAGTCTTAAAATCTCAATTAATATTATTAACATAATTCATTGAAGTTTGTTTGTAATTTAAAGAAAACTAACATTCTTATATGTGTAAATATGACGCTGTGAATTGTCAGATTATAAATCCAAGTATTATTGACGATTCTAACTATTGATAATTATGATAAGATAATATTATTATCTATCCAAGTAGAATTAATAATTATATATACAGTAGGTAATTATAATAAAATTAAATAATCTTTGACAGAATATAAAAAATGCAATAAAAAATAAAGAAAAATGTTAATTATCTTTACAGAACTTTTACTTTTTCATTTTATATTACTATATTTGTGCAACTTTATAATAAATGTGAAAATAATAATGAATACAATTATAATTTAATATAATTTAAAATATATCTCGGTTACATATGAGACTCGGAATGTTTGTAAACATTTCAAAAACAAAAAATTCCATCTTAACATAATTAGTAATTAGTCTTAAAATTTTAAAATTTGATTTATTACTACTTAATTCGACTACATATTTTTATTGCTATAGATGGCAAAATATCAGTCCTGGTATTATTATAATATTTTAATGCCACTTTTATCTACAAATTAATGGATTAATAATTAAATTAAAACTAAAGGCTTACTTTGATAAAAACTAAATATTCCGGGACAAGTATACCAAACAAATGCATTTGTGTCACAATTAAGTAACTATCCAATTTTATGTCATTACGACTTTTCAATACATCAATCGTCTATGCGATTCCTTCTTGTTAACCACAATTTTTATTAGTAATATAAAATTAGTGTGAATCTTTGACATAATTGTCGTTCAGTAATTTAGAATCAGCTTCTTTTAATAAATGAAACTAAATCGTTGGTCCAAGATTTGTCAATAATCATAATAACGCATCTTAATTTTCGCATAATGTTGCATTCCTATAAAATGAGATCAATATACCACAAATTATTAAAGGTTCTGTAAAGCTATGAAAATAATTTTTTTTTTTTTTTTTTTTTTTTTTTTTTAATTGTTGAGATATATCAAAATGTAGTTCTTAAAAATACGAATTTTAATATTACGAATTACAAATGAAATTTATGAGAGCACATAGAGATGGATATGCTATCTAAATAAATATTTTACTTGCATTGAATGAATTAATAAATCATTATTTGAGATTAAAAATAAGTCGACATTTGTTGATTCTAGTGCTACCATAGTTAAAATACTAATCTTTTAGCTCCAATAACTCTTAAGCAAAATAATAATTTATATGCCAAGATGGAGATCTGTTTATTTCATAAAAGCTCGCTTCATTAAAATTTTTATTCAAAATTATTATTTAAAAATAATGACGAAGAATTTATATATATATATATATATATATATATGTATACATATTGTCGACTTGCAATAAGTAATTAGCTAGTATGACAATATTTTAAGTTACTTATCACAACATCATTCCTGAGTCGACTTCCTTTGATTCATATGGTCTACAAAATTCTGATAATATTTTTGCCAGAAGATCTGGATCACTAATAACTTAATTTGCTAATACGTACAGCAGACAAAGTAGTTGCTTCTCACGTTGAATATTCGGATATCGAAAGTCTTGTCTTTTTGCATTCGCTGAATCAGGCCTGAAGCTATGAACTGCTCGCTTCGACAAATCAGGCTATAAAACCTACAAGATTCTGCGTTCTACGGCCTCAGCAAATGCTACTCTATAGACAATCGGACCTGTACCATTTCATCCTAAGTTATCTGTATTGACACAACATCGTCATCGCCGATTCTCAATTATAATTTATTGTATTAATTACAATTAAAATTCGTTTAATTATAATTAGGATTCGTAATTATAAGCTATAGTACCGGCTAGAATTAACCGTAATAATGAAGAGGATTGACAAGAGTAAATCAGAACGCTGATGCGTTGAGGCCTAAAAGAAGAGTGAAGAGGAATGTGAAAACGGCAAAAATAAAAAAATAATTTTCATATCTTTTGATCCTAGCTCTTTTAAACTTTTACAAGAAAGCTTTCTTTGAGTTGCCGATTTACTAGAGGGCATTCAGCTAAATTAAGTAGATAATAAAGTAAGAATCGGTTGGTTGTCTTGATATTTTGAGAAACGAGCACAATGATTCCATACCTTTGAGTATATAATTTTGTTAAATAAACAAAGTTTAGGAAATTTTTATAATTTTGATTTTATTAACGCATTTGATATTGTTTACAAATTGTTTTGAGTAACTAAATCCAACTCTAATACAAATGCTTTTTAAGAACTTGAACATTTTTACGGTAATAATATTCATAATAAGAATATTGCTAAGAAAATTATGGCATTGTCGAAATCCCAAAAAGTAAAGGACATTATGCTTCACCAATTTAAACTGCAGATGTTAATTGCTCCAATACATTGGATATATGTGAGCTACACATAGATTGTAATCATAAAAATATAAATTATTTCCAAATGAGTTTGAACGTGCGTCCTTGGATTCAAGTCTGTCACGATTGGGGATGTGATCGGTAAATCGGAAAATCGAGAGACTAAAGGGACGGGAATTTTTTTGAAATATTGCATTTCATTGCATTCCAGATATTCATGATGCGCAGCTACATCGAGTTAAAAATTGTTGCTAATGCGCATTTCAAATTTGAGTAAGAGAGAGTTTGTATTCTCTCTAGTTAAAATTACGAAATTAAAGGGGTTTTTTTTTTTTTTTTTTTTTTTTTTTTTTTTTTTTTTAACAATACTCATATTCGACGGCCCATGCTCGAATAAAAGTTTTAATAACTATTAGTTTTGACATGTGTTAATGTTTTAATTTTAACTTAACATTTGAGTTGTTAACATTTAACAGTTGCCTTTATGTTATCAACAAATATTATAATATCAAAATAAATATAAGTATGTAATAATAAAACTGACGTTTTATCTTAAGAATAAAACAGTTAGTTCAGATCTTCATAAAGAATAAAGAAATTAATTCTAAAATAATTATTTAATGCCACGATAACAATAAACATCATGTATGTCATCGTTAATTGGAACGATTCATTTTCCATTAATTTTACTAATAAATGTCGCCGGCTTATTAAACCCACTACGTAAGAAAAATGACATTCTAAACGATATTCAAAATAGGCAAAAGGCTTCAAAAAAAAAAAAAAAAAAAAAAAAAAAAAAAAAAAAAAAAAAAAAAAAAAAAAAAAAAAAAAAAAAAAAAACAGCCAAAGAGGTCAAAAACAGAACCTGTAGAATTTATTTAGAAAAATTGGACTAGCGCATACTTGTTGTCAGACATAACGAGATTTTCTCTCTTATATCCCTGTATAACTCGGCTTTTTATTTATTAATACTGTAACTAAAAGTAATAAGTGCTTAATAGATAAATAACGACACGAATTAAAATTTTAAATTAATATAGAAATATGTATATTTTACACTGATTATTAATTTTCTTTTATTACATCCTGCAAATTTGGGCCTACGAATTTCAAAGGAATGTTTCATGTCATTTTCTATCCAATCATAAATTGTAAAATAAATGTTAATAATCTATTATAGTATCAATGTAGTTTATTGCATTTTTTATAACTGACATATATCTATTTCTTATACATAAGAAACGACAAAAGTATAAAATTTATTTTCATATCTGTAGGCTTAATGAGACACTATATAGTCTAATCAATTATACAACATTAAGAATAAAATTTTCGAATTTTTTAAATTTAGATTTTTCTATTTTATAACAAGTATTCATTATAAATTCTATTACGCAATTGATTTTAATATACTTTAGCACAATTACTTTAAAATCGTATATTATAGTATTAATTGATTTAACACAAGAATCAGTAAAATTAATAAAATTATTAAATAGTTTATAATTTCGTAAACCAGGTCAAATTAATCAAAAAGGGACTATTCAATTTTTAATGAATTGTTGCTTTTCACTTAGCTAACGGTATAATTTTCAGTAAGCAGCCTAAGGTACTTCTACAAGTAATATTCTGCTCATTACTTGTAACAATTTTTTCATTAAAAAATTGTTCATCATTAGACATATTATATTAATACTTAAATATTAAAATTAATTTTCATTCTGAATTCTTAAATAGCTAACGATATTTATATTAGAAATAATTATAAAATATTTTCACTCATAATGCTAAAGCTTCAATAGAATTCGAAATAATGATGGTTTTATGAACAATGATTTGCCATGAGTAATCAATCTTTTTTTCATCTTTTTTTTTTCATAATAAAGCAAATAACGTCTTTCCGAAAATAAGTCTAGAATCAAAATTTAATTTATTAATTTAAAAAGAATTAAATTAAGTATTACTTAGGCAGTACGCAGTACAATTTTGACGTATTTTATTTCCCGTTTGCACACATTAAACAATCTATTACTGTAATATTCTATTCACAATAACAAAGTACCTCACATAAGATACTTCGATTTTCATGAGTACCTTCTCGAGTACCGATTAAAAATATCCTACGTATACAACACATCCTTTAACTTCTCTTACCTGTACTTTCTCCCATTCTTTCTCTCTCTCTCTCTCTCTCTCTCTCTCTCTCTCTCTCTCTCTCTCTTTCATTCTTTGCTTTGTTTTACATACTCTCTCAGAATAGATAAAGGATCATCGATATTTATGTGTATATTTTGGTGTGTGCGCGCGCGCGCGCGCGCGCGCGTGTGTGTGTGTCTGCGTGTGCGCGTGTGCGTGCGTGTCCGACTGTGTATACATACATACATGCGTACATACACATGTATATTCTATATACAACATATGCGCGCGCAATATGTATTATTAAAAACGATACTGCATGTAAGTGCGTCGTCGATGAAACTTCACTCAGCGTGCGTGTGTGCATGTATACGAAGCAGCGTGTACGTATACACGAAGCAGTGACCATACGAATGAGTGAGTGCGCGTATGTGTTAAAAAAAAAATAAAAAAAAAGTAAAAAAAAAGTAAAAAAAAAATCAAAGGCCTCGGTGGCGTGAAGTCACCGATTTACAAAAAGAAAGTTGGAAAAAGAGCGTAATAAATAAATCATTTAAAAAAAAACAGCAATCGATGAAGATGCAGATCAGGTAAAATTATTGAAAGATGGGGGACGACGCACACGCGCGGGACAATAAGAGAAATAAACATTCCGAGGCATCGAGACGTTATTTTGCACAATTTGGGCGTATCGAAGGTTCGCCAAAAGTTGCTCGCAGCCCTCGGGGCGCACGCGCGACATCCTTTGGCATTGGCTCGCTACCCTCCTTGTCGTGCTACTCGCTCCACGACTCTTCGGCGTCGGCATCCTCGTTCCTCGTCCTGCTCGTCCTCGCTGTCGCTGTGAGGTGCGCGTCCGGTCGCCGCCAAGTGACGATTCGTGCTTTCGGACCGTGCCAAGGGGTCGGGACTCAACCGAGGCCGGCCCATTGGATGAAGTCCAAGACCTCGCGTACCGGCACGTCCCTCGCCAGGGCCTTGACTCGCAGATTCCGGTCCTCCGTCAGCAGCACCACATCTCGCTTGACCCGTCGCGGCTGGCCCTCCTCTGAAACAATTTTAACAACGATCGCTTTTTCACTGGGCATTTGCTTGCCGAGCCGACCCTACGATTACATACGGCTCATTGGCAATGAGCTCAGCAGCTCTCAAAGATCAATTTTACGAGGCTGAGATCGAGACTTGACGGTCCGATAGGAAGAAAAGCCTCTTCCCATCCTCCCCCCTCCCTCCCCATCGTCCCATTCGATCAATCGATCGCTCGTCTCGGCGGACGAACTTCCACGGACTCGATCACCAATGATGGCCAATTAACAATAGGCTTCGCTCATCAGCCGCGTCAAGCTTTTGTTATCTCTGTCATTACCGACCATCAAATATCTCAATTATATCTTTGATAATTCAATATAAATATAAATACAGTTTTATATGTTTATATGAAAAAACGGCCATTTGACCCTTTTTTAATACGTATTTTTGTAAAATCTAGATATCAAGATGTTGTTTTAGCCTAAATGAAGAATAGAATAGATGGCATTAATATACACATTTTTAGAAGAGTATTTAACTAATTCAGGACATTATTGTTAGATTCGGATTATATAAATATTGAAAATATGATACGTCGTAATAACGACTGTTACAAATTGCCTGGCAAATGAATTTTATCTACTTGCACATAAAACAGAAAGAATTTGAAACACAGTTTTTATTCCATACTTTATAACTATGCGATTAACAATTAAAAAGAAAAAAAAAATGAAATAATTAGAAATAGTAGAAATCGATGCAAACTCACCGGAACTAACTTGATCCTTGTTTGATTTGCATAGACTCAGGCACGTGGCAAGGATTCGATCGTCATTCCTTGTTAAACAATCCTATAATAATAATAATAATAATAATAATAATAATAATAATAATGATAATGATAATGATAATGATAATGACAATGATAATGATAATGGTAATAATAATAATGATAATGATAATGATAATGATAATGACAATGATAATGATAATGGTAATAATAATAATGATAATGATAATGATAATGATAATGACAATGATAATGATTTTGTGTATTAAGTAAAACGTTTATATGTAAATTAATATGATTATGAAGTAAATTATAGTAATTAATACTCGCTGATATTTCAAGAAACTACGTTGTAGGGATATGCGTATGCATGCACGCGTGTACCTACATACGGACAATAATTATAATTCAAGTACCAAACTATCTTACATACAATTACGTATACTAATTTATATGTAACTCGCATTCCAAATGCGCTAATGGATGAATGAGTAATTAAAATAGCATGGCTGTGTAAATAAATAAGCGCAGCACTTGTCGGTGCAAATGAGATGAATAATTTTTACCTGACAGACATCTTCTTCTACTGTAAACGAGCTAGAAGGGAGAATCGTTCCTCGGGTGGTTAGGCATCTTATCGCTGGATTTCTGCTCCTGGCGAAGGCGAGACCGGCCTTTGCGTTTTCAGCCACTCGCGCTACGTGTTCGGGATTCAAAGCGGCCCTCGACGTCGGACCGCTGTCCCTCAAATCAGCCGATCCTCTTGACAGACCCTCCAATTCGTTTAATACTGAAACGTAATTAAATACAAATTTTTTTTTTCATTATTCATTGTCCTGGGGTTAAAAGTGAAGATTTTTAAGTATACGAATTTACGGCTTCAATTGAAATTAAAGCGAATCATATAGTAGAGTTTTGGGAATGCGAAGACAATTTCGACAGATATACGAAGGTTGAGCATTCGCGACTCTAAGAATAGTGCAAATCGCCAAATTTCGAATATAATATAAAATTACTAAAGTCTATAAGATAAATGACAGGACATTTTTTAAAAAAAAATTCAAACAATAATGTCGTTCACGAATAATTTCATAATAATATTGTGAAAACTAATGTTTAATAAGAATCTTTGCTTATGAACAATTTGACACAAGAATTTCTCATACGTACGTTTCAATTTGAAGTTATGTGTGTGTGTGTGTGTGTGTGTGTGTGTGTGTGTGCGCGCGCGCGCGCGCGTATCGATTAACAATTACAATCTATTTATTAATATAAATGTTTGCTTTTTGTTTTTGTGTTTTTTAAGCTGAATATTATATTGTAATAATGTAGCCATTAAATGGGGGTAGAAGAAAAGTAGAGATAAAATTTGCATAATATATATGAAAGGTTGAAACAAATATAGAATACGAAAAGAAATGAAGAAGAAAATTGAAGAGTACTCTGAAGAACTCCCCGAGGGCAACTTATTCAAATAGTTGAGCAATTTTCGAGTTTTCCTCGGAATATGCTTGGACTTGTAAAAATATTTCTAATCTTATAAGAATATATACTTTCTACGCTCGATTATGTTGTTCTACTTCATTGGAAATACAATTTCAAAAATATACAAAAAATAAACAAAAACAAACAAACAAACAAACAAACAAACAAACAAACAAACAAGACAAATGCAAAAAACACAAAGATGAAATTGTAAAATAACTTTTTATACGGAGAGAAAAAGAGATACGACAGATTTAGTGAGCTTATGATTTTATTCAATACTATTGTATTTTATTGTATTTTGTTTTGTTCTCGTGATAACTTGGTAGAAAAAAAAGGGAAAAAAGTCGTTCGTTCGTCATTATGCATGTCGAAACAATTTCAGAAATTTTCAAAATAATTTCTAAATGAGTACGAAGTATTCCTTAAAAGAAGCAATTTATATGAAATAATTCATGCTGGCGTCGTCACGTGTTTCGTCCTCCACTAAGAGGCATTTATACTTGGGGACGGGCGGAGGATTGCAGGACGAGCTCGCGAGTCCCTCGGTTAAATATGTGATCGTGTGCCGCCCCGCCCCCCGCTTCGACAATTCCTTTATGTCGCAAAGAGTAGAAGGAGCGAGAATAAAGATCCGAGAGAGCGAGAGTATCGAGAGATGGGGTAGAGAGAAGAGGAGGGGGAGGGGGCGAAGAGGACGGGTGGAGGACCCTTCGTCCGGATAAAGATTAGCGCTGCTTCGAAGTTGGTAACGTCGGCCGAGGCACGGGGAATCGTCGAGGCGAATTCAGTTTGCGCCCGAGAGCATTCAAAATTCATTCGCCTACGGTGCGCGCGAGCCTCGCCCACACGTGTTGGCATTTACGAGTCGGCGCACTTTTTTCTCGGCCCCGGAGCAACAGTCCCTGGCGGCCAGTCGACCTGCGCACTTCTTGTCTCTCGTGTGTGCTGCACACGACCGAGAAGTTTGCGTCTGTTGGCGCGAGCGCGAGAGAGCAAACTAGCCGTGAGAACCTAACTGTGAAGACTCACCGTTGTTCGTCCTGAGAAGGAGCAAGAGAGCGACAGTGGGACTTGGCCGGAGCTTGGCGAACGGGGGTCGGGGTTACGAGGATGGGGTGTGGTGGTGGTGGTGGTGGTGGTGGTGGTG